GATAAACCTCTTACATGTGAACGTTTTGTGGAAGAACCGTAACAGATATCGGTGAAATTTCAAAATGTGAAGCATCTCAAGGACCTTGAGCATCTGAAGTGTACTTTTTGTGTACTTTCGGGTTAATAATGTGGCCTTTTTGGCAGATTAACTAAAGGTGTGCGGCTGCTGCTGTGAGGAAATACCAGCCTGAAATTACAATGGGCTTTAATGGAGACATGTTGAACGTTTTTGTCACTTCATGCCCTCAAGAGGCATTTTGTTAACGGGCGGAATAAAGATTTTGAAGAACAGATAGTTGGAATGCTGTTATCAGCATTCCCACTAAACTATCTTTTTGCCTGTAATGTCCTGCCTTAAACAGCAATTCATAATTTTGATTGTTGGCTGCTCATTTAATAACTATTACTTGTACTAGTTTGTTGTTTGCTCTTGTGCTTAGACCAGTGGTTCCCAAACTGTGTGCCGCGGCACACTGGTGTGCCGTGAGGCAAGTCCGGGTGTGCCGTGGGATTTTGTGACAACCATACGTTATTATTGCAATATACAACTACACAAAAATAATTATTTTTTAATTTACTATATCAGTACTTTGTATGCACTCATTTCATAATACAGAGGCAAACTCTATACCTAAAAACAATTCTTTTAATAAAAATCCTCACGGAACCCCATATTTCGCTGTTAACGCAGTTGCAGGTGGGAATTATACGACCGTGACACATCGAAGGCTGAAGGACAACATTAAAACAAAGAAACACGCAAGAGGGAAAATGGAGCGCTTTCTTGTGCGGAGCAAACCACCAACCACCAGTGCAGAGATTGCCGACAACCCACCACCGAAAGAAAAGAGGAAAAAAACTGTCAGCAGACAGTATCATGAAAGTTACCTGTCTTATGGCTTCAGTTGGACCGGGGATGGCAACAATCCTCAACCCGAGTGCGTCGTCTGTCGGGAGAAGTTAGCTAATGCGAACATGGTTCCAAGCAAGCTAAAGAGGCACTTGGAAACCAAACATCCCTTCCATGTTCAGAGAAACTTGGCCTACTTCATAAGAGCGCGGGATCTGAACCAGAGGCAGCAAGACCGTTTGTTGGATTGTGTGAAAGTGTCTGAAAAGGCAATGGAGGCTAGTTACATGCTAGCGGAGCTCATTGCAAAGCAGAAGAAACCTCACACAATAGCGGAGACACTCATCCTCCCCGCTTGCAAAAAAATTGTAGGTATCATGCTGGGTCCAGATGCCGCAAATGAGCTATCCAAAGTGCCGTCGTCTGATAATACAATCAAAAGAAGAATCGACGACATGTCAGAAGACATTGAGCAACATTTGACAGAGAAACTGCAGGCGAGCGGCAGATTTTCCCTACAAATAGACGAATCTACTGACATAAGTGTGGCTGCCCAACTTCTGGCAAACGTCAGATATGTTGATGCTGACTCTATCAAAGAGAGGTTTTTCTTCTGCAAAGAAATGGAAAGCCATACTACGGGAGAAGAAATATTCAGGGTAACTCATAACTATTTAAAAGAGAACAGTCTGACCTGGAATATGTGCGTCAGTATTTGCACAGATGGTGCAGCAAGCATGACGGGGAGAGTGAAAGGATTTATTGCTAAGGTGAGAGCACAAAACCCACATATCGTCACAAACCACTGCATTTTGCATAGAGAGGCATTAGTTGCCAAAACCATGCCCCTGGAGTTGACTGAGGTGCTGAATCAGGCTGTGCAGGTGGTGAATTACATAAAATCAAGGCCCCTGAAATCTCGCCCCTTCTCCCAGCTGTGCGCCGAGATGGGAGCCGACCACTGATCCTCCATACAGAGGTACGTTGGCTGTCACGGGGGAAAGTCCTATCCCGTCTTTATGAGCTTCGGGAAGAGCTTTTGGATTTTTCACGTGAACACGCTGTCCCACATAAAGACAAGCTCGCGGATGAGAGGTGGTGCGCCAGGCTGGCTTACCTCGCTGACATATTTGGGCATCTCAACGAGTTAAACGCCAAGCTTCAGGGCAGGAATGAAAACATTTTAACATCCACAGACAAGATTCGGGGGTTTATGGGCAAACTTATCCTGTGGCGCGAGGCTTTGGAACAGGGCTCCATGGACATGTTCCCGCTGGCATCAGCTGCGCCGCAGGCAGCAAGGGAGCGCGCTGTATATGCCGAACACCTTCAGACCTTAAAAGAGAGGTTTGACCGCTATTTTCCACATGTGGCTGACATCGAGGACTATGACTGGATCCGAGACCCATTCCACCCGGAACTCTCATCAGAAAAGCTCACTATGAAAGAGAGAGAGGAGTGCGCAGAGCTCCGTGTGGACCGCACACTGAAACTCAAATTTAGTGAGCTCCCACTGGATCAGTTTTGGTTGGCTTCTGCATCGGAGTACCCAAGCATCTCCCACCACGCGATTGAGCAACTTCTTCTTTTTCCCACTACCTACCTGTGTGAGTTGGCGTTCTCTACTCTGGTTTACATGAAGAACAACAGGAGGTCACGGCTCTCTGTTGAACAGGACTTGCGAGTGGCCCTCTCCTCAGTGCCACCAAGGATTAAAAAAATCTGCGCGCCCCGACAGGCACATGTATCTCACTAATTTGTAAGTCGGCAAAAATATTTACAATAGCACATGTTTCAATGCTGATTGCTGAAATGTTATATTTATAATTTGTAGTTCAGGACCATGGACAGTGCAGCTTCCTTGCATTGACAGTTCTCTCTGCTGAATTTCTGCTGAGTTTCCTTTGCCTCATTTTTTATTGTGTGACCTGTCTGGTTTAAATGAGTGTGTTGCTGCTTTGATGAAGCCTAATTTCATAAAGTTTCAAATTAATTGAAATATTTCGTTAACAAATATTTCATGAGTAATATAGTTGTCTTTGTCACATTTTATTTGGCATTAGTAAATAATTATGCACATTTACAGATATTTTACATGATATGAGTGATAACACGTGTTATAAGGGCTATTTTGCAAAATAGGTGTGCCTTGAGATTTTTTTTTGTCCTTTGGTGTGCCTTGGGCCCAAAAAGTTTGGGAACCACTGGCTTAGTGAATACTAAAGAAGATCATTGTCTCTGTGTTAGCTGATTCTTTTGTAGAATTCTGTTGAGTATTAAAGGTCCCATGTCATGGCCATTTCTACTGATCATAATTCCATTGTTGAGGTCTACTAGAATAGATTTATATTGTGCAATTTTCCAAAATCACATTGGTTTCTCATACAGCATCTCTGTATAGTATGTGTATTCACTCTCTGTCCTAAACGGCTTGTTGGAGCTCCTGCCCCCCCCCCCCTCCCTGTGAGCCCAGTGGCCGTCTGCGAGACAGCGAGAGACAGCGAAACCCATCCCGAACACACACCCGCAGCCTGGCTGGGAGTTTGTGTGTGTGCTCACACCTCGACTCACAGCCTCGCCGCGTCCCGCCGTCTCAGGGAGGAGAAATCGGCGGAGCTGCAGCTGAGAAGAGATTGAGTGTGTGTGTGAGGAAGTCCGCGGATTGGTCAATTTGGACCAATCCACGGACTTAACGTAACGGCTCTGCGGACGTAACGTAACAGCTCCACGGATTTGGACCAATGGGTCCATTTGGGAATGGGCACGTTACTGTACCCAGTAGTGATGGGAATTATGGCTCTTTGAAGGGAGCCGGATCTTATGGCTCCGTTCCTTTCAAAGAGCCGTTCAAAAGAGCCGTTCAAAAGAGCCGTTTTTTTAAAAAGGGGGCGGGGTTACTAGGTTTATCTGCGAAATAATCACCAGGATAATGATTGACTGCATTGCCAGACCTAATGTCAATAATCTGCATTGTAAACATGACACAAGGTGGCGCCATATCCATGTCATTCATGTCAGTGAATGTACTTTGAATTTACCCTCTGCATGTGTTAAGTAAATAAAGTTGCCTTGCCTTGAATGAAATTCACGCAACTCTTAATATTAGTAGTGTGTTTTTAAGTGGCGATGGAGATTATTTGTTGACCCTGCTTTAAAGGATATTTTGCCTTTACAAATGGTGCGCTTTATCACTGCCTGGGTTTTGGTTGAAGTGCATCCAAATGCTGCTGCGTTTTCGTGTTTGGCTCATTTTACATCCGAAAAACACGTCGTCTATCTGTCCAGTACCACTTGTTATGACTTCTCTCTCTCGCGTATTCCGTGAAGACCCACCCCACCTAACTCCTCGTGCTGAAACCTACAAATCAGAGTAGGGGCGGGTCTTCACAGAATACGTTTGGGGAACAAAATCAAGCTTTTTAAAAGGCGAGTGAATTTTGGCAGGCAGTGAGTGCGGACCAACTTTGATTGAACGATAAGAAGAACGGCTCTCACCAAGTACGACTCGGTTCCCCTCGTTCGTACCAAAGAGCCGTTCAAAAGAATCGGCTCGTTCGCGACCGACACATCACTAGTACCCAGGAAGAAAAAGAGAAATCTCCAACGAGGCGTTTTGGAGCAGCATAGACATTTCTGTGTTAGAGTTTTACTCGCTACAGGGTGTACTTTGAGAGTTTGTGACTTTGCAGACTATTTACATGCATAAAATCCTTCATAACACACAAGGGGACGGGTAATAACCGGAATATGGGACCTTTAAACAATTGCGTGAGTGTGAGGGTATTCAAATAAATCGGTCAGTAAGTCAGAGATGCAACTATATTTATAAATGATTATGGGAAGTACCCTTTTTCTCACTTGAGCTACTTCCCCCCAAAACAGTCCCTGTTGAGTTGAGTTGCATTAGTAGGAGATAATGGTCTGTACTGACAGCTGGGACACAGCATGGTGACAGCAGAACATGAGCACACAGTGTATGAATGGAACTCTGCAAATCACTGATACAACAAAAAGGCATGTTTTCACACAAAACAAAGATATGTGTCACTTTTCACAGTTTATATGCATGATCTGAAGCATGACTAATGTCCACATGCATTATGATACTTAAAGTTTGCATCCCTACTTGCCCCTGTGTTTTCTCTTACCGTGGCTTGTGGTCGTTCACGGTGCCATCGTCGTGCACAAATGTCTGGTTCACGTAACATTCACTGCACATTTTGGCCGGAGATCCGGCGCTGCCGTCGGACTGGAGAGCTGCGGTGGTCGGCGTCGAGTCCCCCTTCACAAAGTCTTCTTCCTGGGTTAATTGCATCGGAGGGTGATTTGCCAGAAAGGAGTATAGACCCGGAGAGAAGGGAAAAAATTGGTGATAACTCCTTCGTTTTGGATGCTCCCTTCACCTACTCAGGTGCATGTTGGAGGAATAGTTTTTCAGCACACGCAGATTGAGAGGCTGCAAGAAGTGACCCCCGGCTGAGGAACTCTGTCTACAGACCAACTAAAAGATACAAATGTGAAGATGTGTCAGTGAGTGAGGCTGATAGGAGGGGAGCAGAGAGGTCTGCAGCAGGAACATACCGGAGCTGACTGAGGTATCTGAACAACTAATCACATAACTGTTGAATTACCACATTCACCCTGGAGCTCAGAGAGGGATCAGCGCCACCTGCTGGAGGACAGTAGTCTGTCCAGTTCTCTGGGATGGAAACATCAGTTCCAAATGGGAACAATACGATTAAGATGTCAGAGAGAGAAAATGATGTTCAGCCTACAATGAATCACGAAATTACATTATTTTAAAAAGCACAGCTGATTCAACACTTGAAATAAAAAAACACTATGAGCTACAACAGGTTATTATTCACCCCAGTGCATATTGTTTTTATTATGCAGACCTATCTATAAATGTAAAACAGAGCCTAAATAATGTAGAATCCTACTAAAAATAGCAGATGTTTTTTACAGAAAAATGTGTTTAATTTATACTAAAAGTAAAAGTAAAAGAAGAAGAAGAAGAAGATTTTTTGATTTTTAAAACAAATTTTATTTGCATTTGTTTTAAACATACACCCACCCTGCAAAAGACTCGGAACAAACCTAATACATTACACAATCAAATAAATAAATAACCAGATTTTCATGACTACCAAACAACCATCATCTGAAAAGCATTTTACCCATTTAAAAAAACATCCTCTTTTACACACTTTAAAAACAAAAACTACACCTATCCTTTAAAACTTAAATATTAGAGAGTCCTTCTCCCCCAGTGAACACAGAACCTGCCCAACAGCCCACACATCCAGAAACCCCTGCAGATGATTGATCAGCGTATAGTACGCATGCTCCACCCTCAGACGCGCTGCCACCAGCCCCCTCAGACAGAGCACTGCATCCGTCCATCCCACTCCAGCAAGTTGGTTCTTCCTACTTTTCCAGATTGCTAATTTTGCATTAGCAAACAAGAAATGTATCAGTAGTAGGGTTTCCTTCTTTTTCAGGATGTATTTGGGGCCATGGACAAAAAGTGGTATGGAGAAAATCTCCCCCAACCCTTCCACCCACCCCTGTAACATTTTTTAAGACCAGCCAATCGGGGACAGGACACCACTAAATACTCCAATGTTTCTGCCATAAAACAGAACGGACAGCCCCCCCTTGTGCCCGGGTCAACATGAGCTCTATATTTGTTAGTGGCTATTGCACCGTGTATAACTCTCCATTGGATGTCAGCCATCCGTTTCTCAACCGGAGATTTATACAAGATCCGCTAGCTGCCCTGAGGGGAAAAGCCCAAGCCAAACACATCCGTCCACCTCGACTCTCTGATGCCTGCGAGCGAGCTGAGGTTAAGCACCTTTACGCAGCTAAGGTATAGCTTCTTTCCATTGCAGGAGCTGAACTTTCCATGTGTTAGAGTCCCCAGTGATAGCAGGAGACCATCCTCCTCTCTCCATTCCCCCACCGCAGGACCCACACTCAAGGCAGGAAAAACATAATCATGTCCCTTTCTCCACTGGTCAGTCCGGTGGGATGGCGACAGCGAAGAAGAAGAAGAAGAAGAAGAAGAAGAAGAAGAAGAAGAAGAAGAAGAAGAAGAAGAAGAAGAAGAAGAAGAAGAAGAAGAAGAAGAAGAAGAAGAAGAAGAAGCTTTATTGAAAAGAATCCCCCCTGAGAGAGATTTACTATCATTTTGACCTAAATGTTGGTAATAGTGATGTTGCGTATGTAGAATGTTACTGTTATAGCTGATAGAGGTGGAGCTATTTAATTATATGTTTTAGTCCAGTGGTTTTCAAAACAGGGGTTGGGCCCTTTCAAAGGAACACAATACGTATGAGGGCCATGAGATAACAACAATGAAGTTCTGATAACAAATTATTTCAATTTCTCTAAATGTTGCTCATTGGATTATTTGACCTCTATGCCTCAAAGACTTCTTCAAAATGTAGCCTAAGTACAGTATTTGAGAAAAAGTACTTTTGCATAACAAAAAAAGCCTTTCATAACCAAATTCTCTTCATGAACAAGTCGACTTTAGACAACCGAAACACATCTGTTATATGATATCGTAGCCGGAGATTAAAACACATGATGGCTTGAGGAAGATTTGTCATTCAAGTGAAATCTGAAATGCCACTTTTCCCTCCACAATGTGCATGTTGGTGTTTCCCAGGCGTGCGTAGAATAAGCAACAGATCCTCCCTCCTGAACTTTCACACACATGAAACCCCAGAGGAGTCTCATGCTCTCTGAACAAATATTATCCCAAATGAATAGGCTGCTCTGGGGATAAGAGATAATGCTGACGGTGCATCATTTAGTGTAGTACCACAGCCTCACTTTGGTCAATCTTAACAAGAGAAACAGCTGACATTTTCAGACAAACTGGGTGTACAAATGTTTTGCAACATTAAATGGTTTCAGTGTCTGTTTTAGAAATTCATCTCTCAGCAAAGAGCCAAAATCACTAAGCGACAGTGATGAAAATGAAATAAAAATATGTGAGAAGGGAAAGAAGCCGAATGACATCATGTTCACAGAAGTGCGAGGAGGAGAAACACAAATAAGATGTCAGGAGGAAAGATTGACTTAATGGAGGTTTCATTTTTTTTCTTTGCCTATTTGATGACGCAAACTGGAGAAAGTATGGAGGAGACGTGGGAGAGGAGACTGATTCACTGAGGTGATGGTGGCATGAGGTTGAAGAGTTTAAACATCATGATGGATGTTTGGGATTGAGTCAGGCTGTGACTGGAGTGGGAAGTATTTTTCTTTCATTTTTCTGCTAATAGGAGTCACATCTGTGATATTATCCCAGCAGGGTATGGGTTGTGCCAGCAGATTCAAAGAAAAATGTTCATATAGAGCCATGTTACTTTTATATAATTATTTGGGTTCTTTTCTTAAGGTTAGCCTACTTTTATGTCATTGTCATAATGCAAAACTTGGAGGAATGTGGTTATAACACAAGAGAAAGCCTGAACCTGCACAAGAAAATATATGCAAGTATTGACATCAGCATCTGCTTAAAGAGGTCTATTCTGCTCATTTTCAGGTTCACATCAGTATGTTGTGCCTCTACTCTTCATGTTTCCATGATTTAAGGTTCAAAAGGTTTCTTTTCACTATCTCTGTAAAAGCGACTTTGAGCACCTGTAAAAGCGCTAACAAAATTAATATATTTTATTATTATATTATTATTAAAAGAGTCTTCCTTTTTCTCATACTGCCTGTGCTGCAGATCACTTATATTTGCATTATTTGCAACTGCAGGTCTCCCTTGAAAAAGAGATCTATGATCTCAATGGGACCATCTGATTAAATAAAGGTTTGAAATTAAATGAAATGATTATCACCCTTGTTAGTTATGCGTTATAAATGCTTTGCCACAATGTTGACATAATACTTTTCTGACACACTTTTACATTTAACACCATGCATGCACTTACCAGTTACGGGGATCAATACAGGTTTTTCTTATCTTATCTTACCAATCAAAAGCATCAATGTGTGAAATTCAGTGTTGAACAACAAAACAGGATCAGTCTTTGTGATGGGCTGCAGGATTTGAAAGAGCTAAAATGTCCAACTGTATCTGGCACATCTTACATGATGGCCCATTTGATTCTGAAATTAGCCTCTCTCCCTAATGAATACTTTATTTTGATGCTAATAGTGTGACATGTTACAGTGTATGTTTGCACTGTATATCACTACTTCCCACACTGATGGCCCATCCGTCGCCAACTAAAAGGTGACCTGTAATGTTAATGAAGGGTTTCAGGCTCAGTGGCGGCGCCAGGGTATGGCCCCCAGGAGATTTTTTGAAATACTAACATAAAATACACATTCTGGTACTCTCTTGAGAAGAAAAATAAATAAATCTATTACTACACATTTAAAAAAATTAATGGTATTTTTGTTTTTTGTTACTTTGTTCTGAAAGCTGAACCTGCTGCTCCTCACAGAGAGAAGAGGGAAGAGGCTGTGTGAATTACTTTACATTGTGGATAAGGGTGGATAGCCCCCATTGTTCTGTGTGTCAAAATGAAAGACAGCCCACACACCTATCAATCATCAAACCGTGGGGTCTTATTTCATTACGTGTTGATTTCTATCAACAAGTAATGTTGTATCGATGTATATAAGTTCTTATTATACATCCATGATATAGAGATGTACTACAGCAAAAGTATTCTCCGTCGGGACTTCCTGCAACAACAACACGCCGTTATCGTGATTCTGATTGGCCAGAAGACATTATCAAAGATGTTCTATTGAGAAGACGATCACTACGTGACAAAAGTTTTCAAAACCGTTTCTAGTCTTCGGTATTTCCAGACAAGTGGCTGCTGAAATCAATCTTACTAACTGCTGTCTGTGCAATTTACTCCGCGCGAGTTGGCGGACTTTATTTAGCTTACTTTAACATCATTTTTCATGGTGGGCCCTGCACAGGGGTTGGGTTTTCAGCATGTCAACTCTTTCACCTGTGGGGAAATTGCAGGATTGGCTCCAGGTCGCCCTTTTTATTTACTACAAGACAAATGTGCCTTTTTATTTCATACAGTTCAATTTGGATTGAGACAGGGAAATAATCTAAACCTCACGCGTGGCGTTTCACTGTCAAGGGGGGCGATATAGCGTGTATGTAATTACATTGCAAATACTGACTTGAGCCCCACCACTGTATGGGTTAGCCCTACCATACATTACCCAACAAAAATACTCTGGAGCCGCCACTGTTCAGGCTCAATAAACTGTGTCAGAATCACTGAGAATAACATAACCAATTTGCTAAATAAGTTTCAGTATAGTAATATTTCCATGAACTGATGATTACATTAGATTATACTACTCAAATAAAAGACAGCTAGGCTCTGTGTGGGAAGCACATTTAGACTTTGTGTTTGCTCTCTTTTACTTAAACCATAACTATGCATATTTCCACTATCTTTAATTATTGTATTGTTACCTGTTGTATCTTGTTTTATGTCTACACTGTTGTAAATACTGCAAATCAGTAATGGATTTCTCTTTCATATGTTTTAATGCTTTGAAGATATGTTAAAAAAATGTAATTCCCCTGTAACGGAAATATGCTATTTAAATAAACATTCCTTCCATACATTTAAATATGATAACACTGATTTAATAAACACAATATTTCGTCAACTAATCTGGTTATGGACATGTGTTTTAAATTCCAGTTTCAGTCAATATTAAAGCAGCAGCCAATATCTTAACATCCAAATCAAGCTGAGGAAGATCATAATGTGAAGCTTACATTTGAATTGGAAAGAGGCATGTGGTCGTTTAAGTAAATACTATTTTATTTCTGTTTCTCAGTGTTCATCGTTATCAACAGAAAATAAGAACTACTAGGCCTATCTATACCTTCAAGTCAACCTGATCACCCAGAGAAAGGTGTAATTATGTATATACATTTGAAAAGAGAGGAAAAACTGGTTTTCCTGCACACATTAACCAATCACAAGGCTGTGTTGGAACACACCCACTATTGTTCGCTATCATTTAATGTGCGTAAAGCGGCTATAGCTTCACAGAACTGAGGATCACCAAACAGCAGAGATGACTCGCATCAACAGAGAGAGGTCGAAAGACGTTCGTCTCATGAGGGAAAATGGAAAATCCACTCGGGAGATCCAGCAGCATTTCGTCAGCCTGGATATCAACATTTCCCTGAGCACTCTGCGGAACCATTTCAGGGAGAAACCAGCGCGCCGCACCGGGCCGCGCAAACTGCACCGGTGAGAACTTTATTTATAACACACTGACAAACTGAAACGGCTACTTTGATTTCATGTATTATGCTAACACATTTCACACAACTGTAAAAGGTTAGTTGAAAGCATTTAAAAGTATTGCTTCCAATTAACCTAATACAGTTATGTGATGACATTATACATTTAATTAAAGTCAACGTTTCAGTACATTTATTAAACCTATTTTCAGGGTTACATTTGAGCTTCCCCTTCCCTTGCCTAGTGAAAACCACATTACATTTTTAGTAGCAGTGTGGTTGGTTCTAAAGTAAAAACCTGTTTTCAATCATACTCCACCACTGAGGAGCAAAGTGTACTTGATGTTAACTTACTTAATTGTCTCCCAAAGTAAGATCCTGGCGGCTATTGATGACCACACAAACGACACGTTGAGTGCAAAGGATCTGCAGCACCTCATTAAAGCAGATTTTGGAGTTCTCCTCGGCCTGAGGACTATACGCATGGCCCGCAGGAAGCTGGGCTGGAAATATGAGAAGAGGGGCTTCACAAGAGATGAAAGCCAAGAAGAAGACCAAGAAGAAAGACGAATGCAAGAGCTTCAAAGGAGCGAATGTGAGATGTTGCAGGATGAGACAACAGAAGATGATGAGGACCAATCTGTTGTCAACAGTGCCATAAAGCTTGATCTAGAAGCAAACAATAGAAGAAGGGGGGCATCCATGTTTTACAAGTGTAGGCGACGTCTTGCAACACAGGTTAGCAAAAATACCATAACTCTAGAATCAAGTGCATAAAGTGTTGCTTTCTCAATGGGACTAATCATTTCTTTTTTTTAGGCTTCCATAGGGATTGCAATCCGTGCAATGCAGAGGTCCTGCCCGTACCCCCCCGACAGCTCAGAGATCTGTGAGCTGACGTCTGAGTGGCACAGAGCAGCAGGTTGCATTCCTGATGTCTTCTCTGGAGGAGATGAGCTCCTCGCTCGAGGCCCAGACACGGAATCTTCAGGAGCTCCAGGATCAGTGCAGGCTGAAACAAACCCCTCCAGTACCCTCACCAGGAGGAAGCTGTTCACGGTCAAAACAGAAGAACCTCCACCTTTAGAGCCAGCTGCATCCAAGCCTGCTACCCCAGCTAGCTTCGTCGCTACTACAACAGTGTCAGGTCCCACGCTAGTTCCAGGTCCGACGCTAGTCCCAGTTTCCACACCAGTTCCAGTATCCACACTAGTCCAAGGCCCCAAACCAGTCCGAGGTTCCTTGCCAGATGTGAAAATCAGATCCATTTCTCAAGCGCGCGAGGAGATACTATACAGGAACTGTGTTGTGAAAGGGGAAGCTCGTCCTGAGGGGTATGCTGCTCAGCTGTTCATGGCTCTGATTCCATTTGAGGCCTACAAGAGCTGGGCCAAAAAGACAAACTGGAGCGGGTCCAAAGGGAAGATGGCCATCCCTCACTCTGTGAAGCTGAAGGTTGAGTTCTATGTGTGCCAGAGGTTTCCAATACTGTCAGGGGATCAGTGGGACAGGATCAGGAACAAGATCAACGAGAGACTGAGGAGCCCCCGAAAAGTTGACCCAGAGGCCAAACATCTGGGTTTTAGTCATTTCTAAAGCGCTTTTACGACCCCTTAAAGTGCTTTTACATTTACAAGGCTGCCATACAAGGTGCTCATATTGACCAAGCTTCCCACACTCACTTTCATAAATTGGCCAACCTATGTGGAACAATCTGGGGTTAAATACACCCACATGTTAACTACAAGGGGGGGTAGGTGTTTGAACCACACATTTTCTGATTGGAGGACGTTCAACCCAAATAAACCTCTGTAACTAATGTTTGTACACTGTGTAATAAAGTGTTAAAAAGGACTCTTTGTCTGTATAATTATTTGAGCTGAGTTATATAAAGATAAAGGTTTTAAAAAGCAGATTAATATAGAAAATAAGAGAGTTTGATTCTGGAAGATGTGAGGATGGTCCATTAGGTGCGAATAAAAATAACTGCTCATATGCTAATAGGACCATTAGGGGCTACATTCCAACAGTCACGATACAATACAAATGCACTTCCAATTGAAGATGATCACCTAAAGAGGTGTAAATGGTATATACCCATTTGTAAAGAGGGAAAGCAGACTCAGACAACATGTCAACAATAAGTATTTTGCAATGTTTCTGTCCTCACAGGGCAACAAAGCTTCTTAAGAATCACCCAGGTTCAATCAGGTTATTTTATCTCCCATTGTAAAGCGTCCTGGGGTTTCTTGAAAGGCGCTATAAAAATCGAAATTATTATTATCAATTATTGTTACAAGATTTTATATTTAAATGAACTTACAGACGTGAGACTAAACTTGTACTTAACCTCTTAAGCCCTGAGCCTGTTTTTCAGGTCTGACATTCCCAGAACAAATGACCATATCTTCCCTTCTAAAAGGGTTAAATTAATAATCTTTATTCTCAAAGTAATGATAAACCTGTGAGTTGGATGTAGAAAAGTCAGAATCAATATAGATGTTTTTTATTTTAAAGAAAATTCAGATTTTACATTGTAAAAAACTGTAAATTATAGTGTCCGTCCAAAAATTATTTTTTACTTATAGTGAAAACTACCCTTGGATGATGGGTTAGTAGACTAAAAGCTTTAGGAATCCAAAGTACAACTTATAAGTACCCTGTATCAAGATTGATGCAAAACAAGTGAAATTTGACCTTTTTAGAGAGATTTAGCCAAAAAAACCAACTTCTGGGGTCATTTGGGTGGATTTGACCTATCTCTCGATTTTGATGAATGAAATCTCTTTATAACCGCTAGAGCCAATGGAATCGAGGGAAACTAATTTTTCCGCTCCAATATTTACATAAAAATTGAATTATGGATTATAAATAATTTTTTCAAAGGTACAGGTACATTATCAACCTATGGATCAACAGTTGTAGATTTTTTTTTTTTCCGTTTTAATGCCATTGAACACGTCTTTTGACCTAATTGACAGCTACGGTGAGACGATCTGCCGTAAAAGCTCCGTAAAGGTACGTGTTGTGATGTCTGTGTTTGCTTCCCCTGTCGCAAGTTCGGATCGCTCAGTGATGATACTATACCTAAATAATCAGTGGAGTCTCAGCTTTAATCGGATATATTGTATGTGCAGCTACGATAAGTAATAAGGGTATCTTTATCTTGAATTGTGTGCCAAAGTCAGTTTGCATTTTTTCGCTCAGGGGTCATTTAGACCCTTCTTATGAGACTTGTGTTTTGTTTTGGTAAAAATGGTTCATATCTTCAGTTAGCTGAGATTCTTCCCGTTAATCTGGTGCTACACATTAATAGTTTCATAAACGTTAAGAAGCACTGAGACATTGTCTCGAAAAAAAAACGGTGGGAGGGGTCCAATGGGGGGACCGTCGTCCTTAAGAGGTTAAGAGAAAAGTCTCCTCAATTACAACATTACATTATTAGTTATATAAGTTATTTAGTGTGGTGTTTCTTTCTTTTTCTAGAACTGTTTTTCTGGGTGAACTTTAGTTATTCAATCATTGTACAAAATCAAAGTAAACAAACACGTAGGGCGTCAAGAACGCATGTTCTTTATTACAAAAAAATCCTTCCGTTTAATTAACAAAAAAATTCTGAAGCATTTGGAGTGTGGGAGTCTGATTAATGAGATTTAAAAAACTGTAAAATATGAGGGTATGGATTTGTGCCTGAATGGTAAACATTTGAGCGTACATCAATTATAAACCTCTTAAATGACTGCTTAAGTACTCAGTAAAGACTCAGTAACTAATCGTGTGTTAAACATTATGTTCCTACAACACCAATTATAATAACCACTCAGGTTCCATTGATTTTGTCATATATTATAAGTTCACTTATTAATATAATCTCCTCAATCATACCATAAAAGTTATTTGATCTGGTACCATTATATTATTGCTGTTTACTGAGTACTTAAGCATTAGGCAGAAACTCTGATTGTTTCTGAAGAAGTTTCTGAGTGTTGGATCAGTCTGCGCCCTCGGTGCACACAGCGACCACAGGAGAGATGTAGTACGGCCCCTCTCGGAGGTATGTCTTCAGACGGATGTAGTGCTGGCTGCCCAGGATCTCTGCTGCCGTCGACGAACACACCAGAGAGCCCATCAGATCAAACTTAGCGTCTTTAGCATCCTTTGTCTGCCCCGCGGAACGATCCAAAATAAACTCCATGAAGCTGGGAGTGCTGATCATCAACTTCTGACCCCACAGCTGAGTGGAAATGGCCTGGAAACACACAAATACACATGAAGATATTACTGCAGCACTGTAAATAGCATTATGCAAGACTACAGTGGTTTTGGCGCAGTGGGCTAGAGCGTTGATCATCAGATCAGGGGGCGTTGGGGAACATCAGTTCGAAACCCGCCTCGGCCGCCACTGAGACAAGCCGTTGTGTCCTTGGGCAAGACACTTCACCCTAATTTGCTTCTGTGGGTATTGTCCAGAGTATTCACTGTTACATGTCTAATATGTGTAATATGTCATGTAAAGCACTTTGAGCACTCAGAAAAAAGCTCTAATAAATGCAATGAATTATTATTATTATTATTATTATTAAAGTCTTTCAACAGTTACAGTTCTAGTCTTTGTTTTTGTACGGGTTATTAACGGGTCAGTGACACAGGGACAGTGTTATAAACAGCTGATTACTCACAGTAAATACCCGCATGGCCGCACAATGCAGCTCTGGGAACGGCTGAATGCTGATGTTGCGGATCATGTCCATGGGCAGGTTAGACAAAAGTAGGAACCAGGACTCCGTCAGGGCCAACAGGTCCTCTGTCTGCTGCTCCAGCTGCAATAAAACATAATTGATGCATAAGTAACCACTTTTTTGCTTCAGAAAATGATTTATTTTTAAGGAAATGACTTAAGATTATGATTATTTTTATACCTGTAGAGTGAGAAGCTGTGATATGGCGTCCAGGCTGCGTACTCTGAGCTCTGTAGCTCCAGCGCCAGCAATCTTACTCATAATCAACCACACAGCCTTAAACCTTTCTCCTTAAAACAAACAGACAAACGGTTACAAAGATCCCAAAATGAGAGCTATAAATACAAGAGGTTTAACCCTCTGAGAGGGGGCATTGCTCATTTGTTTTTTATGAAATGAAACCTGGGAGAACTTCAGAAAAAGATACCAAGCTAACCTGTTTTGTGAAAGACCTGCTTGCCCTCCACAGTAGATCCGAGTAGTCCCAAAGTGTCCAGAGCCACCCCGATCATCGCAGGGTCCGGATCCAGAGCCATCTCAAACACCTTGTTCTGGAAGACCGGGTAGGTTTCACACACCTGCTGCGGGCTGTCCATGATGGCCAGGTTTACGAAGAACTTCACCAAACCTACAGGAGTTATATTCAGTGTGTATTAAATGAAGGAATACGCCACCTAAACATAGTATTCCTGCATTTTCTGGGAGCAGTTTTCTATAAGAGACTCACCAGGAATGTAGAGTGCAGAGAAAGGGTCGGTGTCCGCTCCCTTGATCATGTTGGAGACCTTGTCCATTATTCCCTGCTGGGCCAAATACTTGCGGCCATGCTGAGTGTACGCTAGAGACGTGACCATCTCAATGGATGTAGCTCTGGAGAAAGAGACAACAACAACAACAACAACAGATACACATTAACAGAATGTCAGAAAAGTAAATACTGTGGAAGCAGTCAGGCCAACTTGCATCTGTATGTAGCATCACTTATCATGCAGTCATTTCTCAGTTGCTGTCTCATTTGATCACCTGGTCAATACATCGTCTCCTGTCAGTTCTCCAAGCAGCTGAGCAATAAAGCCGCTTTTGGCGCAGTAACCGAGGGAAATGGGAGATGCAGACGAGATTTCCACCACCAGCTGTAAGCAGAATGTAAAGTATTTGTCAGGGAATCAATAGGAGAGATGATATACGTGTGTATATTAATATTACTGAATCTAAGATTGCACATTCTGGCAAAATGTCTACACGTGATAAGTCTTAATTTCCACCAATTCCATTAAAATAAATATAGTTTGCAATACAATTGTCTGTCAATCAAATAAGTGACGTACCTCATATATCCTGTATCTGATGATGTCACTTGTGGCCATCACATCCTTGATGACTTTCAGCAGGTCGGTTTGGAACAGTTTGTCTAAGCCGGGCTTGGAGTGACTCAGTTTGGACAGCGACTGAATGGCCTAAAAAACAAAACAATGATTGCACCCACTCTAGCATCATTGAAAACCCATGCGACATATTTCTTTGCTTGGGTCCTTACCTGCTTTGCCACATCCATCTTCTCCTCCCCAATGCAGCAGATGGTTGCTGCAAGAATGTCATGGTTGTTGAGGATTTCTGTGGAAGCTTCTGGATGCTCCACCATTCGACCAATCTGAGAAAAAAACATACAAGTTTGTTTACAAGGTGAGCAGTTTAAAAGCAACACAATATATGTCCGTGCTGTGTGCCGGCAGCCTACCTGCGTCAGAGCCAGTATCTTGACGGTGTCATTAGGATGAGTCAGCCCGCCCTGCAGCTCTGCCCTGTAGCTCTGGGCCAGGGTCACGGGGCCCAGGGCCAGTAAGATGCGTTCAAGGATTCCCACACACAGCTCAACCTGCTCCCTGTAAACACAGCTCGTGTCAACAACAACTCAACTTATCCCCTGGGGACATTTCGAATAAAAAAAACATGAATATGCAAGGAGAGGCTGTCCACAAAATATTAGTAGTATAACATGTAAATGAAAAAACAAGATGTACAAATTATGATTATAAAGATGATGAATGAGATGATAGTGCAAACATAACTGTGTACATTATAACTGTGTACATTATGATAATAATGGCAATGAAATACAAATCAAGAAGAAAAACAGAAAGGTATAATGCAGTGTACACTGCATTGTTATAACATTGGTGCATGGGGATTTAAAGACAATTATTAAATGTATCTAACTGCTGCCTTCCAATTATTTTCTAAATGAATCAACAATCCTTTGGTCCTTAAAAAAAAGAAAAGTACCATCACAAAAACTAAGAGCTTAAACTGGCCTATTCAAATTGCATTAAGGCCTAAAGTGTGTCTATCATAGTAGACATAGATAGAAAACCAGCAAGTGTCCACATTTAAGAAAGTGAAACTGCTGAGATATGGCCCTTTTGCTTAACATGATGTTAATGTTAAGTAAAACATTAGCATCATGTTTTTATTGGTTGGTTCTGTAATCAAACATAACTTTAAAATTAAGCGATTATTTATGTTAAGAGTATTTTGTCTTTAAAAAAAAGCAAAGGAAGGGTGCCGCACAGTCTAGATTAATTGATAATGTAAATCTCAATATCATATCAAATAAACAGTAGCAGTCAATGTCTCTGCATATGCACTGAATACATTTATTTTGGGGACTGTGTTGAAAAAAGGCAGCTAATTCTGCTGTTGTACATCCAAACACATTCAAAACGCCATAAAGTTGAGTCAGTAATTGCATTTCCGTTTTAAAGCCAATAATACAGATGTAAGGTAGCAGCCTTGACAGGCCACTAGGTGTTGCTGTTGCGCAGCAAATTGTTGTTTTTTGTCCATTGTGGGACACCGTATTTCTCCTGTTGTTCTGGGTGCGGCCGCCATCTTGGCGCTAATGTTTGTATTCACTTGAGCAGTGTTAATGGCGACAAATCATTTTACACATTATTACGTTAAAAACGGCCAAACATTCAATTTCTTTAATTAATGGGTTAGTTTAAATGTTTATTTACCCGTTTGTGTATGTTTGGGAGTGAGATGTTTATGTTTTGTCTGTTAATTTGGTTGTTGTATTGGTTAGCATGTAGCTAATGAGGCGAATGTTTATGTTTATGTATTCACTCCACGAAAGGTGTGTAAGAAGAGCTGCCATTGGGATAATAAATCGCTACTCAGCGTCTCCACCGCAATCCGATCGACTGTGTCCTGTTTTCCTCCCCTCTGCATAACATCCCATCACCAATAATACACACAACGCAGAGTCCCAGGGTGTTCAGAGAGGCTACAGGACATTTGGGTTACACAGACATAACATGTGTCAGTGTTTACATCTGGGCTGTAGCATTGTAGTAACAGTAAGCTAGCTAGCTTGCTTGCTTACACCTACTACTACAGGTAAAATAACGCCTTTTACAGCTAGAAATCCCACTAACAAACATTCTCTTCCTGTATTTGGACCTACTGCGATACCAACATTAAACACGAACAGCTGACTGACTCAGCATTATTTACAGTGTAAACACAACGCATTGTGATGAACCCACTTGTCATCTGAGTGTAACAGAGAGAAGATCACGTTGAATCTCTGTCCGCTCACCGAATCTCTCAAGTCCCGCAGAGGAATGGATAATAAAGCCGTTTTTAAACATTGTAGTTCTTCAATTGGATCATCGACGCCGGAGATTTCTTCCAGTAAACCCTCGATGGAAGCCGCCATGACTTGCAATGTTGTGGGAATCTTCCGCCGAACTTCTTCTTCCATGTCATAAATTAGGCAGTTAACATCTATCTTGAATGTCGCATTACTGCCACCTGCTGGACAGAGTGAGGGACTGCATGTGATTTCACTTTGCCTCACCTGTCCACTATGGGCTAATATGAATATTGGTTAAAAATACATTGAAATCTACCATTCCCTAAATTCTTTATTACTATTCAATGTCTTCTTTTGTGTCCTGGAGGGCAACTTTGACTATACACAACGTAGCCTACATTGTCCTTTAACCCTCAATATGGTCAAATCAAATGTAATCAAACAACACATAGTTGGCCAATTCGTACTGTTCTTTACCTGTGAACAGTATCACATTCACAAACCCTTTAAATATCAGCACGTATACAGTATGTTATACCTGTGGGGGAAACTTCTGAAGTAATTGGAGTCAGGACTCAAAGAGAGACACGATGGAGAGCTGGAGCTTTGATGGAAAACACTGATGGTTTATTTGGAGCTTTGGCCGGAGAATTCACAAGACATGTCACGGGCCACGAGTTGACCACATGGTTGAGATGCCACAATAAATTCTGAAGAACTCTACCCCAGACCCATGTATTTATCTAGTTCTGAGAGAATAATCAACATTGTGCATAACAAGATAGCTGACGCCAACAGGCAGGAACAGGGAGACAAAACACTGAGAGCACAGCAGCCAAGGTTGCAGGTGCGTGTGCTCAGTCAGGACAGTATGAACTGATACACTGGGTCAAAGTTATGGGCCTTGGAAAATATTTCCCCAACAGTTCCTCTCTTTTAATCAATTTTGATAACCTAAAAACCTTAGTCTAATAATAATTTGTTCAGTACTTAAATCAATGGGAATCTTCAGATTTGAGTGTGGACTTACACAACATCAATTATATCAATAACAATCACATTAATAACAACATAATAAGTTTGAAACATTCAATCACAATGATTGAGACAGCCAATCATAATAGAAAAATCATCTCTCGTCAGTGTTTGGAGCATCTTTTGTCAAAAGCATAATAATGAACACATATAAAATCACAGATACATAATAGCAAAAACATTTATTTTAAACTAATATGTTTTATCATTTAACCATTAGTTAATCTCCTTTATCAAACTATAAAATCAAAACCAGCTTGCAGCTTAAAGATTTACTTCAAGGCAATCACTAGTCAAAAACATTTAAAAATCAGGATCATAAGGGATCCAGTTAAGGTATACAATTCACAGTGGTGATTTGATCAATCTGTAATCTGCCAAATTACAGTGTCTTCAATTTAGGATTACATTTATGTTTACTTCATTACGCTTTAGTCAAGAGTAAGGCACTTTAGTCTTAGTAAAATAAATACATTCATTTTAGTCGAGTACATTGCTCGAAGTCTGAAAAGGAAAAGTCAGATATTTGTAGTATATTGTAACAATCTGAAAAGGAAAAGTCAGGCAAATATTCAAAGACTTTTGTAAAAACCTGGAAAGGAAGGATTAAACATTCTTAAAACTTGAATTAATACATTTGTAAATGCTACCACTGATCTGTACCAAATTAAGTATCAATTATTCTTATTAGTCATACTTACCTGCACATCTACTTATGGTACTTGGAAAGGGTTCTTCTGTGTTTATCTAATGTTGAATATAGAATATCAATTTCTTTAAATTATACTTCTCTAATTTGAGGATCAAATATGCTACATAATTGTTATATGAATTATTATAAATATTTGTTATATCTCTCACATGCTCCGCCCTCTACTGGACACTATGGGTACTACCTTATCCTGCGAGCATTCTCCGACTGAGACTTCTGTAGAGAGGCGAAGTCCCTCCCCTTCCGGTTGAGCTCCATGGGACCTTATTTCGGAAAAGTTATGCATTGAAGTCAATGGAGAGAGAAAGATTATCTTTCGATCCCGTTTGAATTGTGCCACGAATTACACATATGATGTTTGTCAATTTAAAAGATAATTTTACAAGTCAAAAAAATAAAAATGTGTCGTAAAACTGTGAAGTAACACTTTTTTTGGTGTGAAACCGCTCAATGAACTACATCTCCCGTCTCGCACCACACACCAAGACGGCCGTCACGTTGGCACATTTCACCTCTTTCTTTCAGAATGAGGCAAAAAGTATTAAAAGAGGTGAAAATCACTACAAGTCTGGGCATGTTGAGAGCTGCACATAAACACAAGGGGAGTTAGTCGGTTCCGTAAGAGCCAGCATGCAGGACCGGTATTCTGGGATTTGTAGTCTTTCTAGTTGCGTATTTTTCATAGTCTTATTTTTCAACAGTTTTACGACAAACTGTGACTTTTTTGACATGGAAATTATTATTTAAGATTGACAAACATCATATGTGTAATTCGTGGCACAATTCAAACGGGATCGAAAGATAATCTTTCTCTCTCCATTGACTTCAATGCAAACTTTTTCCGAAATAAGGTCCCATGAGTCCCACCGGAAGGGGAGGGACTTCGCCTCTCTATAGACGTAGCCGGCCTTGGGGCGGGCCTACCTGAATGCGCGCGCATCTCACCATATAAAAGGAGGCCTCGCTTCTTGACCGTCATCCTTTTCTCTTCAGCAGCGGAAGTGAATCCACGGAGCTTTTTGAGACGAGAGAAAATGTGCATCTGGCGCAGCCGACCTTCGTCTCGCCCCAGCAGCCAGACATATGGCAGTGTGTGGAGGCTACATGGCAGCAGCCATTTAAAACAAAGGCCCCAGTAGCCGCAATGACAGGCATCATCAAGGTGCAGTGCCGCTCGGACACGACATGTCCCGGTGTGCACCCCTCGATGAGAGCCTGGCGGCCCATCTGCTTCCGCGGGCGGCCGGTTGGGCGGAGGGTAAACAACCCCTGCCCCCGCTGCCCCGGGACCAAAACACCTTGGAATATCTCGACAAGATATTCAAGCTCGGTACACAGATGGCGGGTGCGGCCAATAATCTTGGCGTGTTGGGCATCTCCCTGATCACCCCTCAGGCAGACGCCCCCGCCCTCCCGCAGCAGGACGGGAGCGATTATCCGGACCGCGCTATTGGTCAGATGAATAATCTGATTCATGGCGTGGCCACTGCAGCAGGGCGGGTGATATCCTTGGCCACAGTGGCGTCTCGTCACGTGTGGTTAGGACTCACTGCCCTATCCAAAAAGGACCGAGAAGATCTCCTCGGAGCCCCCATGTCCACGGAGGGGCTCTTTGGGTCGATCTCCTCGGTCACCCAGAGCTTCAGCCGCCTGGAGGAGGAGAGAGTCCAGCTTAGCTGCATTCTACCGCTGGCCCCTCCTCAGGCCCCGCAGCGCGCTCCTCCGCGGGTTTCCCTGCAGGCGAGGGAGCGCAGTGCAACGGTGAAACGGAGGGAGAGGCGCCGGCACGGGGCTTCCGTGGCCGCGGCGCCCTCCACCTCTACAGCCCATCCCGTGGAACCAGCGTACCGGCATTCACGGATACGGGCTGCCGACCTCGGCAGGCTCCTCAGCAGCAGAGAGCGGCCGGGTGGGGTGCTCCGTCTTCCCGGAGCTGACTGGCGGGGGGAGGAAGCGTCTCGGCGGGGGGAGAGAATCTCTCCGCCCGGGACGCGAGGGTGAATCCCGCCTCCTCCCTATTCAATGCACAGATTCAAACAAGGTCTTTTGAAAATAAAAATAAAGTTGATCTGTATCCAAGTTTAAGTGTCCTTTGTTTCCACAATGCTACACTTACACATAATGATGACTGTACAAATTCCCCGCTCGCCGCCCCAGCCGTAGCTCCTGTAAAGGAGGTGGCTAGTGGGAGTGCGCAGATGAGAGTGATAAACCGCAGGCAGTGCTATCATAGTGCTATGCGGGTACAGGGACATTATGGCCGGCGCATTACTGTCAGAGAACACACTACGCCTAGAGCAAAGACTCCAATTAATGCAGTTTACCGTAGTGGTAAGGGCTGCATTATGGCGGAGCCCGCACTCACTCAAGAGCGCGTGGCGGTGCGTTAAGGGACCTCAGTAGAACACACTACGCCTATAAAGGCTCCGATTAATGCTGTTTACCGTAGTGGTGAGAACAGCATTATGGTGGAGCGCAAGAGCGCGTGGCGGTGCGTTCAGGGGCCTCAGTAAATAATCTGCCGACCCTGTCGAGAGTCCTTAGGGACTCAGGGAGGTAGGTGCACAGTGAGCCCATACAGGGCTGGGGGTTCTCCCCATCTGCCTATGGCTCAGCACTGTTTTTTGAGCACACTTTCTGCGAGGTAAGCGCAGCAGAGTGTGCTCTGTCAGCCGCAGCCCAGATTTCTCCACGGTCACAACCGGGTTAAAAGAGAATGTGGGGCAGCAGCTGCTGACCAGAAAAGCCAGTCAGGGGCAGTAGGGTGGAATGCTATTGTTGGACAACAGTGCGCGTATACATCAGGGCTCCACCCACTGTACCCATAGAGTCCAGTAGAGGGCGGAGCCTGTGAGAGATATAACTCCGGGTTACGTATTGTAACCTTTGTTATATATATTAACACAGGCGGAGCCCTCTACTCAGGGCACTGTCTGTCCTATTCCACTCGCTGAAGAGAGGTGTAGGATGATAGTCAGGAGGCGAGCCCTCCTTTTATACGGTGAGATGCGCGCGCATTCAGGTAGGCCCGCCCCAAGGCCGGCTACGTCTATAGAAGTCTCAGTGGGAGAATGCTCGCAGGATAAGGTAGTACCCATAGAGTCCAGTAGAGGGCTCCGCCTGTGTTAATATAACAAGGGTTACAATACGTAACCCAACGTTTTGGGCCAAAATTGAAATTAATCCAGTACTTGAAACATCATGTTAAGGCCCTGACACACCAGGCCGAAATCGGCCGTCTTCGGTTGTCTGACGACGAAGCGTGCCCTGTCGCCCAAAGTCAATTTGGTGTATCCCGAACCCTCGGCCGTGACACGCCTTATTTGGCCTTTCATGGTCGACACAATCGGCCGTGTGTCGGACACAAGCTATCAGGCCAAGAAACCACTCTGATCAGCTGTTCAGCTAGCAAATGAGAAGC